AGCATTCAAAGATTTACAGTCTCTGGTACTGAAGGTACCATGAATGATTACTATTGACTGCCTACTTAAATTTATCCCATTGCCTTATTCGATTTGCCTAGAATGCCTTCCAAGTTACCAGTCATTACCACACAAAATGTCACTCAATTCCACTGTTCATGCTTCTTTTTATTTTTCCTGAGTTTCCAAACACTACTCTTTGTGGCATAGTAATTTAAGCACATAACAACAATACCAATCCTATCTCATTACCCATAAGCAGGCCCACACTTCCCATTGAGCTGCTGAACTTGCTGACCGAAAGATCGCAGGTTCGAATCTGGAGAGTGGTGTGAGCTCCCGCTGTTAGCCCAGCTTCTGCCAACCTAGCAGTTTGAAAACATGCAAATGTGAGTAGATCAATAGGTACCACTCATGCAGTCATGCCTGCCACGTATCTATGGAGGTGTTACGGACAACACAAGCTCTACAGCTTAGAAATGGAGATGAGTACCAACCCCCGAGTCAGACACAACTGGAGTTAATGTCAGGGGAAAACCTTTACCTTTACCTTAATTTGAGCACTAGATTTCAACTCTGGAGACCAGGATTTGAACCCCTGCTGTGTCATTGGGCAAGTCACACCCTCTCAGTGTCAGAGGAAGGCAATTGCAAGCCTCGTCTGAACAAATCTTGCCAAATAAACCCTGTGATAGGTATCCCTTAGAGTTGACATAGGTCAGTAATTATTTGAAAGCACTTAACAATCTGAATTTTACTAATGTCCTATGTGAATCTCCCAAGAAATGCACAAGTGCAAAAATACTTTCCTATTTGAGTTTTTTGGCAACTGATTCACAGAACAGGATGGCCATGCCACAATGTGAAATGCCTTCTTGCTTAGGATTTATCTGGCTTTGTCACCCCCTTTTTTAAAAAAAAAAAAAAAAAAGAAGTCCTTCAATGCTGACTGGTTTTCTTGCTGCCATATTTCTCTTATCTGGCTGATATTATTCAATCTGATATGAGAAAACCTTCTTAATAGTTGCTCTCAATCTCCAAAACACCCTGAAATAGAAGGAGAGATACACTCCCTCTCTGTTTGTCACCATCCCACCAGCAGGAAAAATAAATAAGTATCTGCATTAAAGTGGGTTTGTAAATGAAGAAGGTACTGATTATTTTATTTGTATAGTTAATTTTGTCACAGCCTTTCATGCTTTAATTGCATGTCTGTTTTTATTGGTATGATTTATTTATATTTCCATCTTACCTTTCCTGGAAATGAGCTCAAGACAGCACACATGGCTCTCCTCCTCACAATGCCAACCCTATGAGGTAGGTGAGGCTGAGAGGCCAACTGGCCCAAAGCCACCCAGTGAGCTTAACTTATTACTGTGAGCCACTTGATTGCCATATTTGATGGAAATCTTTTACTATCCCTGATTAGAGGTCCCCGGTGGTCTTCCATCAAAGTATTAGTCGAGTTTGTGTTCAGCATAGAAAAAGGTAAAGATTTTTCCTGATGTTACGTCTAGTTGTGTTCAACTCTGGGGTTTGTGCTCATCCCTATTTCTAAGCCAAATAGCCGGCGTTGTCTGTAGACACCTCCAAGGTTATGTGGCCAGCATGACTTCATGGAGTGCCGTTACCTTCCCGCCAAAACGGTACCTATTGATCTACTCACATCTGCATGTTTTCGAACTGCTAGGTTGGCAGAAGCTGGGGCTAAGAGCAGGAGCTCACCCCACTCCCTGAATTCAAGCCACCAACCTTTTGGTCAGCAAGTTCAGCAGCTCAGCATTTAACCTACTGCATCACCAGGGGTTCAGTATATATTGATCCATAAAAATGGAAGAATGAGGCAATGTTAGTGTTGTTATTTGTCATTGTCATTGTGTGCCTTTAAATTCTTTCTGACTCATGGCACCTCTAAGGTGAACCTATCATAGGGTTTTCTGGACAAGATTTGTTCAGAGTACATTTGCCTTTCCCTTCCTCTCAGTATGACTGAGCAGGGATTTGCACCCCGGCCTTCAAGGTCGTAGCCCAATGCTCAAGGCAATGTACCATGTTGTCTCTCACTATTGTTATCACCACCAAAATCATCACATACAAGAGCATCAAATATCCTCCTATATATGAAAGAATGCCTTGACTAAACTTCAAAGTGCAACCCTTTAAATGTTGGATTATAGGTCCCAGCATTCTTGATCATCGGCTGTGGTGGTTGAGCATAATGGGAATTGTGATCCAATCACATCTAGGACTGATTCACAGATTCAATGTTATGCAGGGTACTTGATTGGCTGTGTTGTTTACTCCCCAAGATAGAGTAAAGGGAGACTAAGGCCCCTTCTACACTGCTATATAATCCACTTCAAAGCAGATAATCTGGATTTTATATAGCAGTATAGAGGAATCTTATGGTGCATTTAACACTGTAGAATTAATAGTTTGAAATCACTTTGACAACTATAGCATCATGAGAGTTCCAGTTTTTCAAGGTCTTTAGCCTTCTCTGCCAAAGAGTGGTAGTGCCTCACCCAAATGCAGCTCTCAGGATTCCATAGTATTTGAGCCCTTGCAGTTAAACTAGTGTGAAACTGCATAAATGCTAAAATGTAGTTGTACCCGTAGTCCTCTCACCTGAGTTCCATAGCAAAATGTACTTCATATCTTTGTGATACGTGCATTTGCCCTAGTCATGCTGCCCTGTTGTATTAATCATCCTGCTTAGTAATAACAAATTTATTCAAACCCTTATCTTTATGTGGTCCAAACAGCACTATCTGTGTAAAAGGCCAGGTGTTGGCAGACCTAGTTTGCAGAGGTTGTGGGTGTGGAAGTTGACCTGAACAGCTGGAGAGCAACCCCGTGAGCATGCTTTGCATGCTTGAAATGCTGATAAGCAGTTCTGGGAGGGAGGAATACCAGTGAGGAGAGTGGAACGTAATGAAGTATTCCAACATTTCTCTGATGAAAACTGGGTCAAGCAACATCATGGTGTGATAGCAAAAGTTGTAGATGAGAAAGAATTCACAGCTAAGAGATGCTGCAACAGTTTGCTTTTGCCTGAGCCTACAGGGAAGGACAAGATTCTGCCTCCACCTCCTCTCCACAAACTACTTTTGCACTTTGATTTCAATTTGCAATAACTGATGTAAGCTGATGGAAGAGGAGAAGGAAACTAGGACATTTTAAAAGCAGCTGAAAGGGTAGGATGATAGACAATTAATCATGACTGTCTCTTCTCATTCATAACAGTCAGAAGGTACAGTATTCCTAGGAAGGATATATCTAGCTAAAATCCTGAAGAGAAGCCCTCTGCACTACAACGTTTAGATGCAAGTGCCAATAACCACATAACTACCAGGCTATAGTTATGGTCAATAGTTATGACCATAGAAAGATATGTAATGAAAGTCAACATGAAGGCAACAAAAAGAGAAGATAAGTCAGGTTCATCCAAATTTTAAGTGATAGTATTTGTAATGTTGTTGTTTTTTTAAAAATTAAAGCTAGACAATATGTTGTTGAAGGCTTTCATGGCCAGAATCACTGGGTTGCTGTGAGTTTTCCGGGCTGTATGGCCATGTATCCAGAAGCATGTGTCGCCCACATCTATGGCAGGCATCCTCAGGGTTTGCGAGGTCTGTAGGTAACTAGGCAAGTGGAGTTTATATATCTGTAGAATGCCCAGGGTGGGAAAAAGAACTTGTGTCTGTTTGAGGCAAGTGTGAATATTGCAATTGACCACCTGATTAGTACATAATAGCCTTGCAGTTTCAAAGCCTGGGTGCTTCCTGGATGAGGGAATCCTTTGTTGGGTGGTATTAGGTGGCCCTGATTGCTTTTTGGCTGGATTACCCGTGCTTTTTGAATGTTGTTCTTTATTTTCTGTTATGATTTTAGACTTTTTAAAATATTGGTAGCCAGATTTTGTTCATTTTCATGGTTTCCACCTTTCTGTTCAAATTGTCCACATGCTTGTGGATTTCAATAGCTTCTCTGTGGAGTCTGACATGGTGGCTGTTAGAGTGGTCCAGCATTTTGGTGTTCTAAAATAATATGCTGTGTCCAAGTTGGTTCATCAAGTGCTCTGCTATGGCTGATTTCTCTGTTGAATTAGTCTGCAGTGCCTTTCATGTTCCTTGATACGTGGTTGGGCATTGCGTTTGGTGCCCCCTATTTAGACTTGTCCACAGCTGCATGGTGTATGGTAGGCTAACCAGCTAACACCTCCCAACAAAGCATTCCCTCATGCAGGTAGTAGCCAGACTTTGAAGCTGCAAGGCCATTAAATACTAATCAGGTGGTCAACTGCAACATTCACAGTTGCCTCAAATAGACAAAAGTTCTTTCTCCCACTCTGGACATTCCACAGATATATAAACTCCACTTGCCTAGTTTCCAACAGACCTCACAACCTCTCAGATTGCCTGCCATAGATGTGGGCGAAACATCAGGAAAAAATGCTTCTGGAACATGGTCATACAGCCTGGAAAACTCACAGCAACCCAGTAAAGCTAGACAGTATTTATTGGATTTATACGCCGCCTTTCTCCAAAAATAGGACAAGGCAAACCTATCCCAGTGATGCTCACTGCCGTATACAGTTTTGTGCTGCCTGGTGGATCTGTTTTGCGAAAATACAACTCACACCTTTAATCTCTATTTCTTTGACTTATGTGTCTGAAGAGATCAGGGTAGGGTTCAGTTTTGTTTTTTGTTTTTGTTTTTTGTCTTGAAATTCTAGAAAATCCACTCCTTTTAGCTTTCCAGAAGGTATGTCTGGCAATGATAATTTTAATTACAAGAACAACCTGAGCCTCATTTCTGGGTACCTTTAATGATGCAAGCCGATCTTTTGCCAGATTGCTTTGTTTACAAGTACTCTTCATACCTCGTCACCCAAATAAACTTCATGGCAGAGCTTTGATGACTTGCTAAAAACAGGAGCACATCCCAGAAGAGCCTTTCTTCCCAAATCTAGGGATTAAACCACAAAGAATACTCACAGGTTGCCTGTCCAATTTGACTTCTTTGCGTAGCTGTTCTACTTCCATTTTCAGTTTCTCCTTTTCGCTGAGATCCTCTATATTTATCGCTGGCATCGTTGCTTCATAGCAGGGGGGGGAGAGAAAGAATGGGTGTCAAGAATTCAATTAGATCGAGAAATGTTCTTTACTGCCTAAAAGCCCAGCTCCTTTTTCCTCTCTCCAAAAAAGCACTTACTTTTAAACAAGACTTAACTTTATCCCAGTTTCCCTGAAATAGCAACATCTTACCAGCCAGCTTCCCTGCCAGTCTCTTGAGCTCCTAGTAACTACTTTTCAGGATTTTAATTCATCAGCAGAAATCCGTCCTAATCTGATTAAGCAGCACATTTTGATTCTCCCCACTCCTCCACGCTCTCGAGCTTACACTGCTCCCAAACCAAAAAAATTAGGCATTAAAACCATGCATGGAAAACCAACCACCCTGTCCTTTGCCTTCATGCTGTGCCCAAACTGCCCAAACCACACACAGAGACTGACGGAGGAAAGCAGCTCTCACTCCGCAGAATCGGGGATTGTGTAGAAATAAAATTCCCCGGAGAATGTGCTCTACCAAGAAGTATTCCATGTGGGATTCACACACCTGTACTGTAGGTCAAGGCAATCCAGTGGAGAGTTCCCAGTGTCCATGAAGGGAGTGTGGGGTGGGCTGGAGGGCTTTGGTTAGCTGGCTTGAGGAAGGCCTTTAGAGACAGGATATGTGTTTCTACTTTCTCCACAATGGAAACATGAAGTGTGGTGTGAGTTCCAGAGGAAATGGGTTTGTGGAGGAAACGCCTGGCCTTTTGTGTTTGTTCCGATGCAGAGTCAAAACAATAGAGGGGCTTGGAATGTGACATGGGAAACACTGAGGAATGACAAGCAAGCTAAGCATATGGGAGGGGGAACTTTCATAGTAGCTTACATCTGAGAAGACATGCCTAGGATTGCCTGATACAGTTTTAAAACAGGGTGGACAGTTTGTGAGGCCATCCAAAATGTCACTGGAGTCCAGTGCTAGCTGATGAAGGGGGATGATGGAGATTGCAGTCCAATGACATGTGGCTGAGTGACAAATTGCCTACCTCTGCTTTAAACATTTAGCCTTCTTAAGACGTGTCTGCATGTTTAAGAGGATTTCAGTGGGTTTTTTTTAAAATCCCATGTCCAATAACCTGTGTAAATAGCCTGAAAACTTATTTTTTCATGAAAGTATCAATATACTGTTCAGCCACAAGATTTATCTCCAAGAATTCAGATGTGACTATATAAAATATCTTTATGGTAATGCGACTACTGGGCCATTCAACTCACCACTAGATATAGGAAAAATATTTTCAAAACGGCCAAAAATGTTTCCCTGGAGAAGGAGAATTGTGGATGGGTTGAACATTCATGCTTTCGAAAATATTTGGCACAAAAATGTATGTGAGGATTTGAGGGGTCATAGGTCCAACTAGTTCTTCTGTTTACATCAGATCAATGCTTCTATTCTTCTATAGGATAACTAAACATTGGCTCTGCTAGCAAATCATGCATCAAAGAATTATAGTATAACCCCCTTATTTGCAGAGGATGTGTTCTCAGACTTCACATGAATTTTAAAAACCTGCAGATGACAGCTAACACTATTGGAATGAATGACTTCTGGCCCAAGAATACCGTAGAATCACACTGAAGGACCAAAAAACTGCTTAGAGAGGATATTTTGTCAGACATGGATAAATGTAATTGCAGAAACAGTCTTGTTGATATGGGAGTCATATAGTGTTGAGTGACTTCCTCACCTCTTCACTATTTCGAAATGTAGGCACTTCATACTCTGTGTTCCTGTATACCTTAACACAGTGGTTCCTAATGCCCCAACCCCTTAATACAGTTTCTTATGTTGTGGCCCCCAACCATAACATTATTTTTGTTGCTACTTCATAACTGTAATTTTGCTAATGTTATGAATCATAATGTAAATATAAATGTTAATGTAATGTAATATAAATCATAATGTATGTACATATAAATGTAACGTAAATATCTGATATGCAGATATTTTCATTCACTGGACCAAATTTGACACAAATACCCAATATGCCCAAATCTGAATATTGGTGGGGTTGGGGAGAATTGATTTTGCCATTTGGGAGTTGTAGTTCCTGGGATATATAGTTCATCTACAATCAAAGAGCATTCTGAACTCCACCAATGATGGAATTGAACTAAATTTGGCACACAGAACTCCCATGACCAACAGAAAATACTGGAAGTATTTGGTGGGCATTGACCTTGAGTTTTGGAGTTGTAGTTCACCTACATCCAGAGAGCACAGTGATGGATCTGGACCAAACTTGGCAGGAATACTCAATATGTCCAAATGTGAACACCGGTGGAGTTTGGGGAAAACAGACTTGACATTTGGGAGTTGTAGTCACTGGGATTTATAGTTAACTTATAATCAAAGAGCATTCTGAATCCAGTTGTAGTTCACCAACACCCAAAACGAAGAGAGGAGAGATGGTGGAGAAATCTTCAGGTGGAGAGATCTTCAGCCTTCTCTGCCAAATGGGTTCCTAAGACCATCAGAACTATGTGTTTTCTGATGGACTTTGATGATATCTTTTTAAACCCCACCCTTGTGACTCCCCCAGGGGCCCTGACCCCCAGGTTGAGAAACACTGTCTTAGCAAGTAGTTTCATAATAATTCCCTGGCCTTTTCTATTTGTTGTTATCACACACAGACTACTTTTCACATAGGACCCTAAATTTTCATGCACTGCCCCATCGAACTAGATTAAATATACATTTGCAAATGCCTCAAACTGGAAATGTATTACTCTAAAGTGTTGTTGTTCATTTGTTCAGTTGTTTCCGACTCTTTGTGACTTTATGGACCAGTCCACGCCAGAGCTCCCTGTCGGTTGTCACCACCCCCAGCTCCTTCAAGGTCAATCCAGTCACTTCAAGGATACCATCCATCCATCTTGCCCTTGGTCGGCCCCTCTTCCTTTTTCCTTTTTCTCTAAAGTGTACACAGTAACAAATTAAGCAGATGTGAATTTATGAGAAGACTGGGAGCACCACAAGTTGTTCTGAACTTCCCAAGGAAAAATCAAAAGACAGGATTCATTCCTTTTATATGCACTCAAGTTGTATTTTATTGTCAATCCATTCTTCTCTCAACATGGAATTTAAGGCATCTTACAACATGAGTAAAACAAGGTAAAGTTGAAAAGCTAAGTATAACTCACTGTTCATTTTAAAAAAACAGAGCAGGTACGTGTAAACTTTGCAAGGAAAGAGAAAGAAGTGATTTATAAGGACAGAAAGGTGATATTAAGGTAAGATGAGCAGAAGGCCAACACTATTTGTTTCTTGCCGGGGGCAACCCACATAGAAATGGCAAAAAGTTAGAAGAATGCCACAGGATCTACAATACATGGCAAGTTTTCATTAATTTGGGAAATCACACTTTCAGATAGCTTGACACTACAGGACAGAGTATATACAGGAGTGTCCAACACAATTTTATCACAAGAAGCAGGTTTCATATATAGCATATGTTAGTATATAGCTATTACCTTGAATTGATATCTTCATTTTGGAGATTTCGTCTTATAAATACCTTCCAGCAATAGCCTTAGAAAAGGAAGCACAGAAAAATTCATTGTATCTTCATATAGTTCTCACCATCTCAAATCATAAGCAGATAATTTCCCTTTCTATCTTCTAAGCATCACATCCTTGCACTTGTGATGCTTGCTAATTATTGCTTTTATTCTGATTTGTGTGCTTTATATACTTCATAAAATTAAAATTATTTTAACAATGTGAAATTGGAGTGGCATTACATTGCTAGATCAATCAAGATGTGAAAATTAGTTTAAATCAGAAACAGTGCGGTCGTGACATAAAGAAACAGCAAATAATCCTTCTATAAAAGGTACTTGGAACAGCGCTTTCGCTTGCTTGGAAATGTTAATTTTGTATGCCTACAGCTTTGGGGGTGCAATCGGTTAAATCACTGAGCTGCTGAACTTGCTGACCAGAAGGTTGGCAGTTTGAATCAGTGGGATGGAGTAAGCTCCCGCTGTTAGCCCCAACTTCTGCCAACCTAGCAGTTCAAAAACATGCAAATGTGAGTAGATCAATCGGGACCGCCGTTTCTCAAGTCGCTCCTCACATGGAAAAGAAATTGGCATCACCTCGGCGGGAAGGTAATGGTACTCCAAGCAGTCATGCCAGTCACATGGCCTTAGAGGTGTCTACAGACAACACAGGCTCTTCGGCATGGAAATGGAGATGAGCACTAACCCCAAAAGCCAGAGATGAGCACCACCCCTCAGAGCTGGAAGGAGAAGCCTTTATCTTGTGTTATGGTTGTTTCTAAGCATTGAATGTTTGTCTTTGTGTTTGTGTATGCTTGAATCCGCTCTGAGTCCCCTTGGAGAGATAAGGCAGAATACAAAAAAGTATTATTATATTATAATTCTCTCCAAGCTGGAAAGGCCATGAAACTCTGAGATTTGTAGTCCAAAAAGGTACATTTTCCAAGTTCTGATATATCTTCTTTCTTGTGACCTCCACTGGGTCACCACTAATTCCTTAAAGCAATAAAATAAAGGATATTGTATCACCCCTAATCACATCCTACTGCCTGTTTTTTCTTGAAGTGGGAACAGACACTTGGAACTTTATTTTTAGCTAATGATCCTTTTCATGAAGTAGTGCTTCCTCCTGCAGTATTAAATGACATATAACTGGGAACTGCAGACAACTTATTCACCTAGCATCCTTATTTCTCGCTCAGACCTGGCATATTAAATCAGCTCTATTTGAGGAAATGGGGGGAATGGTCATTGTTTCCTTATATAGAACATACCTGATTTAGAATTTTCCTGGAAGGCTAAGAATTTGGGGAAGAAGCTAATCATTTGGGTGGCTCCAACCTTTTAGCCAATTCAGTCTCCTGTCTTCAACAATGGTCAGGACATTATACAAAATTGGTAACAGAGTACAAGAATAAATGAATATAAGAATAGAGGCAGAAAAAAATAAAATGCAAAGATACAGAATGGGGGACACCTGGCTCGAGAGCAGTAAGTGTGAAAAAGATCTTTGAATCCTTGTGTACAACAAGTTAAACATGAGCCAACAATGTCATACGGTGGCAAAAAAAGCCAATGGGATTTTGGCCTGCATAAATAGGAGTATAATGTCTAGATCCGGGGAAGTCATGGTACCCCTCAATTCTGCCTTGGTTAGACAACACCTGGAATACTGTGTCCAATTCTGAGCACCACAATTGAAGGGAGATGTTGACAAACTGGAATGTGTCCAGAAGAGGCCAACCAAAATGATCAAGGGTCTGAACAACAAGCCTTATGAGAAGCAGCTTAAAGAGCTGGGCATGTTTAGTCTTAGGAAGAGAAGGCTGAGAGTAGACATGATGGGGCCATGTATAAATATGTGAGGGGAAGTCATAGGGAGGAGGGGGCAAGCTTGTTTTCTGCTGCCCTGGAGACTAGGACGCAGAGCAATGGCTTCAAAATGCAGGAAAGGAGATTCCACCTGAACATTAGGAAGAACTTCCTGACACTGAGAGCTGTTCAGCAGTGGAACTCTCTGTCCCGGAGTGTGGTGGAGGCTCCTTCTTTGGAGGCTTTTAAGCAAAGGCTGGATGGCCATCTGTCGGGGGTGCTTTGAATGCGATTTTCCTGTTTCTTGGCAGGAGGTTGGACTGGATGGCCCACGAGGTCTTTTCCAACGCTATAATTCTATGATTCTATGCTGAACAATCCCTTCCTTCTTGTTCACTTCCCTCCTTTTTGCATTCAAACAATTTAAGCAATTTTTAACATGATGCTACAACTCTTGTTCCAAGTTTGGTCCAGATCTATCATTGTTTGAGTCGCCGTTGTTCTCTGGATGTAGATGAACTACAACTCCAAAACTCAAGATCAATGCCCACAAACCCTTCCAGTATTTTCTGTTGGTCATGGGTGTTCTGTGTGTCAAGTTTGGTTCAATTCCATCACTGGTGGAGTTCAGAATGCTCTTTAATTATAGGTGAACTATAAATCTCTGCAACTACAACTCCTAAATGTAAAGGTCTATTTTCCACAAACTCCACCAGTGTTCACATTTGGGCATATTGAATATTCATGCCAAGTTTGGTCCAGATCTGTCATTCTTTTGAGTCCTCAGTGCTCTCTGGATGTTGGTGAACTGCGATTCCAAAACTCAAGGTCAATGCCCAGCAAACCCTCCCAGTATTTTCTGATGGTGATGGGAGTTCTCTGTGCCAAGTGTGGATCAATTCCATCAGAATGTGTTTTGATTGTAGGTGAGCTATAAATCCCAGCAACTACAACTCCCAAATGTCAAGGTCTATTCTCCCCAAACTCCACCAGTGTTCATGTTTGGCATATTGAGTACCCATCCACCATTGTTTGAGTCTACAGTGCTGTCTGGATGTAGGTGAACTACAACTCCAAAACTCAAAGTCAATGCCCACCAAACCCTTCCAGTATTTTCTGTTGGTCATGGGAGTTCTGTGTGTCAAGTTTGGTTCAATTTCATCATTGGTAGGGTTCAGAATGCACTTTAATTGTAGGTGAGGTATAAATCCCAGCAACTACAACTCCCAAATGTCAAGGTCTATTATCCCCAAACTCCACCAGTGTTCATGTTTGGCATATTGAGTACCCATCCACCATTGTTTGAGTCCATAGTGCTCACTGGATGTAGGTGAACTACAAACTCCAAAACTCAAGGTCAGTGCCCACCAAACCCTTCCAGTATTTTCTTTTGGCCATGGGAGTTCTGTGTGCCAGGTTTGGCTCGATTACATCATTGGTGGGGTTCAGAATGCTCTTTGATTATAGGTGAACTATAAATCTCAGCAACTACAACTCCCAAATGTCAAGGTTGATTCTCCCAAAACTCCACCAGTGTTCACGTTTCGGTCTTATTGAGTACCCATCCACCATTGTTTGAGTCCACAATGCTCTCTGGATGTCTTTCTTCTTCTTAGGCGATCCCTCGTTTTCTGAGGATGATTGTCTTCCAATATTCTTGTGGGTCCGTAGGTGACTGTGGAGCCCTATTCTTGCTCTGCATCTTCTTCCGCAGTGAGGGCATTGGTTTCCAGGTGGAAGGCGGTCTGTGTCGGGGTTGGCTTGATGCGCCTTCCTCTTGGCATGCTTCTCCCTTTCGCCCTCTCTGGATGTAGGTGAACTACAACTCCAAAACTCAAAGTCAATGCCCACCAAACCCTTCCAGTATTTTCTGTTGGAGTTCTGTGTGCCAGGTTTGGTTCAATTCCATCGTTGGTGGAATTCAGAATGCTCTTTGAGTGTAAGTGAACTATAAATCCCAGCAACTACAACTCCCAAATGACAAAATCAAGCCCCACCCAACCCCACCATTGGTCAAATTTGAGAGTATAGGGTATTTGTGCCAACTTTGGTCCAGTGAATGAAAATACATCCAGCATATCAGATAGTTACATTATGATTCATAACAGTAACAAAATTACTGAAGTAGCAATGAAAATAATTTTATGGCTGGGGGTCACCACAACATGAGGAACTGTATTAAGTGGTTAGGAAGGCTGAGAAACACTGCATTAATTGTGTGTTATCTTTGCCCATTTTCCTCCGAAAAGTTATTTAAACTTTAAACCTTTGGGGACTTTGGTGAACCCTTCCTTCATCATCAGAGGCACCCAGGGCTTGGTGACGCAAAGCATGAAGTGCGCAAGAGGAGATCCTTCTGCTGGCAGTCCCATTGGGAGGCGCAGAAGCCCTTCCCGAGAAGAGGCCTGAGTCACCCCATCGCGGCCCTCCCTCCCTCCTCTCCTCTCCTCCCGGGGAAACCCGGGCTTAGGATCCGAGCCAGAAGGAGGCGGAGGAAACGCCTGGGCGGCTTATAAAGGGAAGGCAGCGCGCTGGCCTTCGTTGCGCCTCCGAAATCCCTCGCCTCGCCATGGAGCCCACGGCCTCTTCCCACCTGCCGAGCTTGACACGGACTGCTTGCTTCTTCATGCTTCTGGGGCTGGTTTGTGCCCAGAAGATGCCCGAAGGTAACTAACCTGGGTTGGGGCAGCTTTAGCCGGAATCTTCCAAACAGGATGCCTTTTCCCCCCTGAAAGGGCTCTTGCTTTGCTTCTCTGGGCGCATGGACACCTTAGAATGAATGAAGTTGGACACCACCACGCTCAATGCTATGAGAAGCAAGGATTAGACTTCCTCCAGAACAAGCCTCAGCAAACTTGGGCTCTCCAGGTGTTTTGGACTTCAACTCCCACCATTCCCAACAGCCTCAGGCCCCTTCCCTTTCCCCCTCAACACCATAGAATGAATGCAGTTTGTCACCACTTGAATTGCCAAGGCTCTACTCTATGGAACCAAGGGAGTTGTGGTTTCACAAGGTCTTTAGTCTTCTCTGCTAAGGACTGCTGGTCCCTCACCAAACTAGAATGCCCACAATTCCACTGAAACTTTCACACCAAACTTTGTTTCCACTACAACCCAATGTTTTCAAAAACCCCTGGTGGTGCAGCGGGTTAAACTGCTGAGCTGCTGAACTTGCTAACCAAAAGGTCGGCGGTTCAAATCTGGGGAGCGGGGTGAGTGCCTGCTGTTAGGCCCAGTTTCTGCCAACCTAGTAGTTCGAAAATATGCAAATATGGGTAGATTAATAGGTACCGCTTCTGCGCTCCGTGCAGTCATGCTGACCACATGACCCTGAAGGTGTCTACGAACAATGCCAGCTCTTCAGCTTAGAAATGGAGATGAGCACCAATCCCCAGAGTCAGACATGACTAGACTTATTGTCAGGGGAAACCTTTACCTTTACCTAATTATTCCAGAGACAGAAATTGAGGTGAAAATTTCTGAATAGGGGCAGAGACAGCAAAACGAACATGACAGGGGTGTTAACCCTTCCTTATGCTATCCAAAACTTGTGTGTATGTACCTGTTTTGACTTACATGCAAATTCAATTTACGTACAAGCCTGCAGAGCCTATCTTGTTCGTAACTTGGGGGCTTCATGCATTTCATATTCTTTCAAGCCTGATTATTTATGTGGAAATGCTAAAATTCCTAGAGTAAAGTTGTTTTTGCTTTTTAATATGTATTTACATTGATGAAAGCATCAAAAACCCCATCTACACTGCCATATAATCCAGTTTCCGAATCCAGATTATCTGCTTTGAACTGGGTTGTATGGCAGTGTAGACTCATACATATAGTTGACTTCAAAGCAGACAATTTGGATTCAGAAACTGGATTATATGGCAGTGTAGCTCCAGCCAGAGAGTAACAAAACTCCACAGCTCTGATTGCAGTATGAAAAAGTTGTTCTTGTGTTTGTTTTAGCATATGGTTATTCTTGATGGATTTGAGGCCAACTGCTTCTTTAAAGCAATTGATGCTGTCAAAATTATTCCTGTTTCCAATAAGAGCTTTTCTTTTCTTTTTTTTGCCCAAACTCTTCTTTATCTCATTGCTTTTGAGAGAGGTACCTGAACCATCTGTCTCTCTTTCATTTTTTTCAGACAGCAGAAAGATCTGTCTGCAGCCACCTGTCGAAGGACCCTGCCGTGCAATATTTTCCAGGTGGTACTATGACAGATACTCACAAGCCTGCAAAGAGTTTGCATATGGAGGCTGCGAAGGGAACAACAACAACTTCTTAAGTTGGGAGGAATGCTCAAAACGTTGCAGCTCAATTAAAAGTAAGTCGTTCTTGTGATGAAAAGGTCATCTGACTGAAGTTATGGCCCTGGGTAAATTCTTGGATCAGTTATCTTGGAGTTTTATAAAGTGAACATTCAAATCTCAGATCATAATCTTCAGTCCTGCAGAGCTATTCTTTTCTTCAGGCAACAAGGGAAGTTGTTTTGCTGCCACTTTTCACATTAATAGCTTGTTTTAAACAATGTATGGCATTTACTAAATATCCTTTAATCTATATAATTGTGCAGCAGTGGTAATTTAAATGTTGTTAGAGGCAAACTGCCAGATTTCCTTGCCATTATTTATGCAACTAGGACTGATGGGAATTGTAGTTCAACGACATCTGGAGGGCCACAGTTATCCACTTACTCTGTATAAACTTTCTGCACCCCAACTGTGTGGTATCTTTGCCATCCTGAATAGTCTCCTAAGAAAAGAAGAAAAATAAAGGGACATTGCTGGATGCCTTATGTGAAACCACAAATACAGTTGTCTCCCCATATCCACAGATTCAACCACCTATGGCTATATATATATATATATATATATATATATATAGTCAAACCATGTTTTTAGTGTGTGTGTGTATGTATGTGTGTGTGTGTGTGTATGTGTATATATATATATATATATAATATATACTAAATATATTAAATTTATTAATGTAATATATTAAAAATAAAATGGTATCCTCTCTCTCTCTCTCTCTCTCTCTCTCTATATATATATATATATACATATAATGGATACCATTTTATTGTGCCGTTATATATAATGAATTTGAGCATACATGAATTTTGGTATCCACATAGGATCTTGGAACCAAAATCCAACTGATACCAAGAGCCTACTGAAACTGAGTAAAATGTGGCACAATATGATTGCACTGCAAGTCTCATTAAACGTGTCCAGCAAAGCCAAGGGTAAGGCATGATAGGGGTTATAGCCCAACATCTGGTTGACCAAACTAAAGTCACCCTCACCACTAACAAAGGCAACATCTATTAATGTAAGCAGGATGTGGTGAGCAGAATCCTACAATTATGGATTCCATAGTTCTGACAGTACTATGTATGTCACACTTATGTATGCTACCTTATGTAAACATGTCTTAGAAGGAAGGGGAATCTAGCAGACCAAAAGGAGAGAAGTTCTAGACCAAGTCTATGTGGAGTTATTCTCCCCGCACCCTCAAGTGTGCAAAGGTGGACAAAGATGGTGGGTGGCCCTTATGTCAATGAGGTGGTGAATCCACTTCGGGTTTCAGTCTGAAGTTTTGTTTTGGAATTAGGAAATGGCACCTTGGGTAGTTTCTTTCAAGTTCATACTAAAGCATACAGTTGATTCGTTGGCTCAAAATGTGGAAACACAGGTGAGATGTCATGTTTGAAACCCAAAAGGTACTTCTTCAAAGTAACACATCTTCGATAGGACTCTTTACCTGGCATTGTTGTAACTCAGTGGTTCTAAACCTGTGGGTCCCCAGGTGTTTTGACCTACAACTCCCAGAAATCCCAGCCAGTTTACTAGCTGTTAGGATTTCTGGAAGTTGAAGTCCAAAACATCTGGGGACCCACAGGTTGAGAATCACTGTGTAACTGGAACTATGGTGTGTCGATGATTAATTCATCTAAACCATTAGATCAGAACATGAATGATATTAATCATTATGACCAAATATACTTATATTCATTTTTAGAGATCTGACTTTTTTTTTAAAAAAAATACAGATCTGAGAACTTTTTTTTAAAAAAAAGTAACTTCTTGTAACTAGGTATTAGTATGTATCTTGTGCTTGTGAACTTGAGAAGGGAGGAATATGCATTACCGTTCTCATCCAGGAAAGCCCATGAAGAGTGATTATAGAGATGAAGAAGCCAAGGAGACAAGCAAATGCCTACGATATAGAGTGAATTATGGCAGACAGAAGGGGAATGGTGGTATGGAAGTCCTATGAGAAAAAGTTGAAAAAAGAAGTTATGATTAGACTGAGAAAGCATCATTGGAAGGTCTGACACATAGTGGAAGGCAACTACATTATCTCAGCTTTCCATACATAAATCAAAATAGAAAATTTTCACCTCAGGATTCAAAGATTCATAAAATTGGGGTGTCACAACCAAGAAGGCCCTCTTAGTTGCCATTGCTAGCACCTTGAATTGAGACCCGAAATGAATTGAGAGCCAGTAGAGACTATAACAGAACTCTAGTAATGGCCAAGAGCAGGGGGAATTTTGGGGAATTTTGAGAGTGGAACTTAAGAAAAGTCACTTTTCCAGTTGTGTCCTACTTTGAAGCTGCCCATAGACAACTATGCTGAGAAGAAGGTGGACAAGATAGATGGTTGGTCTGATCAAGCATATCTCTTTTTCTTCTCAGGATGAAATGGCTCATAGGCGTGGTTTAATTTAGATGGTTGCTTTGATTGATGGTATTCTTATTGCTTTCATTTCAGAAGTGCCTAAGATATGCAGGCTGGAGGCTGATGAAGGAATCTGTAGAGCTTCAATACGGAAATATTTCTTTAACCTCCAGTCAATGAGCTGTGAGAAATTTTACTATGGAGGATGTCTTGGAAATGAAAACCAGTTTGATGATGAAGAATCCTGCATGGACACTTGCATGCCGATAAAAAGTAATTATTGTTTTAGTGATGGAAAAAGAGTGATCATGTTTGACAAGTGGGGAAGGAATGGGTAGTCCCAATCCTTTCTCACTACACTCTTCCATACCGGTACTGGAGTAGCTGTGCAATGGATTCAAGAAGAAAAGTATTTTAAAAAAAACACCTTCTTTACTTTCAGATCATTATCATAGGCTGAGTATAGATTAGAACAGACATGGGCAAACTTTTTTGCCTTGGGGCCACATTGTGGGTCTTGGCTGGGAGGGCTGGCCCGGGAGAGCAGCCGGGCACACTCTGAGTGAGATGGACCCGGGAGGGAGAGGAACTGGGAGAGTGGGGGGGGGCAGGAGGGGGGGCAGGGCCCTGGTCATTCTCAGGTTACCCTCCTGGCATAAGGATGGGCCTGCTCACCCCATCCTTATGCCGGGTGGAAAATGAGACATGAGGTGACTGCCCTGATTCTCCTCCTTTGATCTTTGGGCTGTCCTCCAAGCATTATGCCGGGAGGAGGGCAAGACAAGCAACATCCAAGAGCACTCTGGGGGGCTCACAGCTGCTGTATACCTTCCTCAAACTATCCTCCCACCATAAGGACAGGACTATTCTCACCCTCCTTATGCCGGGAGGAGGGTGAGAATCGCATAGGCTGAGAGCACTCCAGAGGGCTCTCAGCTGCTATGTGCATTCCTCCCCAACCTTTTTGCATAAGGATGCGGCGGGCCACAGTGTCCTTATGCCAAGAGAACAGGGAAAATGAAGAGGGCCTGAAGTGCCCAGGGGGGCGCATCCAGCCCACAAGCCTTAGTTTGCCTGTGCCTGGATTACAACCAAACCCAACCTTCCAAACATAGCTTTCCTTTCTGTTATCTCAAACTTACTTTTTTGAACTACAACTTCCAGAATCCTTTAGTCTGTATCAGAACCTGCAGCAAAGCATGGTCCATACTGTCTGGGGTATTTGGGGGTTGTAATTTAAATTTTGGTGTGTGTGTGTGTGTGTGTGTGTGTGTGTGTGTGTGTGTGGGGCGGAGCTAATAGTGTGTCTTCCCTATGTAGCTTGAAAATGTTTTCCTGTGGGGAAAAGGACATTTTCCTCTTTAGTAGTGTCAGCTTTGAATAACTGGACTTGTAAATCACATCCCCCCCTTCCCCTTTTGTTAGGCTCCATGTTTTCTAAGGAAATTAATAGTTTGCATGGGAGGGGTAACAGGTTACTCTATTGAGGGTAGGTGCTAACTTTGCTATTAATGACCTATATCACTAATAACTGAATCATAGCCTCACCCCAACTTTGGTTAATTTCCATGACCAGGTTGGAATGTAGCAGTTCACGCTGGCCAGATTGGTATATGGCATAGCTTGAATATGGCTTTTTGGCAGGATTAATCTGTCCTTCTGACAGCTCATAGAAGTGTTCTACCCAGCAGATCTGAACTCAAGGACACATTGAGGCTCCACAGTCCACCGTTTCATCTGACTTGTGATTTGCTCTTTGCTGGCTACTATTAGGACTTAAACATCATATTCTAAGTTTTGATAATTAGAAGCATCTCCCCCAGTTTAAGATATTTATGACAAATGGGATGTTTTTAGCAACGTGCCATCCATATTTCAGCTTTTTTTGGCTGATCTGGAAATATCTCAACTCTTTGGGAGTACACCAAGTCCCACCTTCTGAGGATGATTACATGTTCTATTTTCAGGTTATTTATCATACTTGGAATATAGTTGGGCTGTGTGTATACTATATTTCAGCCCTAGCTCATTGGGAAATACCATAACAATGTGTGTGTACAGAGGTGGAGTCTCCTCACAGGATGAGTTACATCTCGTGTGATTTCTGCGTCACCGATGAGAGAAAACAAAGGTTGAGTTTTGTTGTAATTATGGATTAGAAAGTAAATTATTAATCAAGTAAACATTCTGTAGCCTGCTGACATCCCTAGTTCATTGTGGATTGCAGTTCAGCAGATTTATGTTCCCAAAAAGGCGTCATCATTCTATACTTAATGTGGAGAAAATATTTATGAGGGAGTGAGTAAGGTTGCCTTGCCATCTCATGCACACCCTTCTCTGTACTTGGAGGATGAAAAATGCGTTTGTATTAAGAAGAAACTTGGCTGGCTCTATATTGTAGAATTAATGCAGTTTGCCGCCACTTTAACTGCCTTGGCTCAGTGTTATAGAATGTGTACTTTGGTGAGGCACCAGCACTCTTTGATATAGAAGGCTAAAGACCTTGTAAAACTACAACTCCCCTACATCCATAGCATTGAGTCATGGCAATTAAAGCAATGTCCAATTGTTTTAATTCTACACTGTAGATGTGTTCCTTAAAAGAGGTGAATTAACAACTCCTTTCCTTCTTCTGGCAATCGGCTTCCTTCCAAGGACTTGTGCTATTATTCCACTTTAAACATTATAGTCTCAGGATTCCATAGGACAGAACCATAGCAGCTAACCCAGGCATGGGCAAACTTTGGCTCGCCAGGTATCTCGAACTTTAACTCCCACAATTCCTAACAGCTTACCGGATGTCAGGAATTGTGGAAGTTGAAGTCCAAAACACCTGTAGGGATGAATTTTGCCTATGTCTGAGCTAACCTGTGTTAATAAAAATTATAATTTTAGCATGAATGTGGTCCAAGTGTTTTCCAAACACTGTCATAATTCTTATCCAGCATGACCAATGGCATGTCCTAAGTCCAGGAAATCTGAGAAGCGCCAGGTTGCCTGCCTTTGGCAAATAAAAACATAATGCATGCCAATGGTTTCTTCTTTGTTGAGAGCAGGGGAGGAGATGCCAGTGTTAAGATGCTATATAAGGCCCAAGCACATTAGACAGGAAGAATCAAAATGTAAATATGTATTAAAAGCCCTTTTAAAAAACCAGATATAATTTTTTTTTAAAAAATTGACAAAATGACCCCTTGTATGGAGAGTTCTTGGATTCATTACAATTCACAGTTGAAATCTGACCTGTGTCTATTTTCTCCTTTTTTCTGTTTGAAGCTGCCCCATCCTTTTGCTACAGCCCAAAAGATAAAGGAGTGTGTTCAGCTTCAGAGCCTCGTTTTTACTACAATACGAAGACAAAAGCCTGCGAGGAATTCACTTACACAGGATGTGGTGGAAATAATAACAACTTTCGGACTCAAAAAGCCTGCCTCAAGGTCTGCAAAAAAGGTAGGGGTCTGTCTTTCTGTCTTCCTTTCTTTCTTCCTTCCTTCCTTTCTTTCTTTCTTTCTTTCTTTCTTTTTTACTGTGATGAGTTACAGGTACTTGTTGCTCTGTTGCTCATTTGTAGAGGTTCATAAACAGGTTTATTTACTATTTGGTCTGGATTACTAAAAAGACTGGCATTAATTGTGGCTTCAAAGACTAAAACCAAAATTAATCTACATATGTGGGGCGGGGGGAGAACTATTCCTTTAGGTTCAGGAAAACAAATGCTTTAAAACCCCAGACCCTCTTGTTTTGTTTTACACTGTAAATTGCTCTGAAAACTGACTCAGTAAAAAAAAGTTGTTTTTGAGGTTGCATGAAAGTACATGAGATGCAGTAATTCATTCATATGTATTGATGTCTTGATGTTGAGGATGGAGAGTAATGAATAAAGATATAACAGGCTCTCTACTTTACAGGGTGTAGGAGCACAGGACAAAAATTGGGGAGGGGGGGGACATGAGTAAAAAAAAACATTGCTTTTTTAACTCAGGAGAAGACCTGTAGAAATCTCTAAGGGCCCTTCTACACTGCTATATAATCCAGAAAATCAAAGCAGATAATCCACATTATCTTCTTTGAACTGGATTATCTAAGTTTACACTGCCATATAATCAAGTTCAAAGCAGATAATCTGGATTTTATACCGCTGTGTAGAAGGGGCCTAAGTCCTCTAACACAATTATATGGTCAACTTCTATTGAAAATAACATATTAATTAAATCCACAAAGGTTCAATCCACAAATGTGAAGGATTGGTTTAGTTGCTAGGTGGGATCATCTCACTGTCACCGTCTTTGGATAAAGCAACAATATTAATCTTTGATTGTGATTCTATTTCTGTTCTTTCCTCAGCAGAGAGAAGGAAACCAAGTTTTTTGAGACGAATAAAACCCAGCACATAAGACAATGAAATTGCTCCAAATGAAGAAGTCAGTAGACTGAAGGCACTGTTTTAAGTTACTGGGAATGTTTTCTGATGTTACTGTTATCTGTTGCTGCTAAACATTTTTATCATACTGTAGAGGAGCATTTTTTGAACTGTAACAAACCAAAGATGCCACGGTCTATCAAGGTCAAATTGTAGACAATCAACCTTTCTGGATTGAGACCTATGGGCAGCACAAGATGTTCTGCTAGGAGAAACAAACTAACTTTCAAGGTGGCCAACTGCAACATTCACACTTGCCTTAAGCAGACAAGAGTTCTTTCTTCCACCCTGGACATTCCACAAATATATAAACCTCAGTTGCCTAGTTTCCAACAGACCTTACAACCTCTGAGGATGCCTGCCATAGATGTGGGCAAAACTTCAGGAGATAATGTTTCTGGAACATGGCCATACGGCTGGAAAGCTCACAGCAACCCAGTGATTCTGGTCATGAAAGCCTTTGACAACACATCAAACTAACCTTCACCTAGGTGTCTGGCTCTCATGAAATAGACTCAATACATCTGCAGAACACAAACATTTTTCTTAACCGTTTAGTTAATATGTTTGGTGAACTTTTCTAATGACTGTTTATGTGGTCCTACCACCTATCATATTGATAGGGATGGACCCAGAGTTTGGAAATATTATGTTGGGACAGTAACCCCTAGAATCCCCCAGTCTAGCATAGTCGGTTCTGGAAGCTTTAATCCAAAAATCACTCCTCTAAAAAGTGATAGGCATAAATCATAGCTCAGTGATAGTTCATGGGCATTGAATGTAGAAACTCCCAGCTTTTGAAAGTTTCTTGTTCTTATTAATATTAATTTTCTCAAGTTTTAAAAATATAAAAGTAAATTAATTTGTTTAATCATTTTCTTTGCATGGTTGCATAGCGATTGTTCTCCCGTCTTGGGAGGAAGGGCTTAACCATCCCAAACATATGTCAAGACATATGGCATCTTGTCTTTTTTGTATAGCAGAACATTGTTAGTTGTTTTTGGCTCATTCTCATATAAGAAATGAATGCATAATTGTTTACAAGAAAACTGTACTAAGTGATATTAATTCCCCTGCCATGATCTATCACCTACACATCTGGAAAGCACTGGATTGGAGAAGATGCCTTAAAGAACAGACATGAGAGAAACATCTAAATGACAAACACCATTTGATAATCTCAAAGTGTGTGCAAACCTTCTAAGGAACCAAATCAGAATTGGTCAAGATTTTCAGTGTTCATACAAAATTGTAATATTTGCTGTCAAAGGGGAGAAATGAGCAATATACTTGACTGTTTTACTTATTTAAAAAAGAAAACTGATTAGCTGCTTAAGGGGTTATTTTTGATGTTGTTTACTGTGGCATTATTTTTCAGTATTACCATTTTGACATTATTCACTATAAAGCCACAGGTTATTACCATGACTGAGTACATTTCTATGTGACAGTTACAATGGAGAATTTCAGGCAGAAAACTATTTGTAAGCTGGAAACACTGCAAATTGGAATTTATTAAATATTTGGGGTTCCTTTCCTTTCTTTGAAGCAACCACCATTACCACTTACAAACTGCATTTCTGGTTTATTTTATTAACTTCTTAATATTTACTGAGGTTTTCCCCTTCTTGTGTAAAGAGAAAATTACTTACTTTCATCCCTTATTGACTTTTCCCCAGATTCCATGTCCTCGTTTTCTTTGCATGTGGGTCTGGTAGTATTGTAATCCCGTAGGAATGTGTAAAATCACTGTGTTTTAAGTGGAAGTAAATATTAATAAAATAATCTGGTTCTGTAATTGTGCTTTTTTTTTTGTCCTAACATATACCACATTATTATTTAGAGCTGTGGTTCTCAGTCATTTCTCCTCACAATGTTTTGGGCTCAGAACTGTCCGCGCCATTGGCTTTGTTCTGGGAAATAAAATCTAAAACATGTGAAGAACCAAAGGTTGACAATATTTTCTGTTATTCTTAGATCTCCCTGCAATTGCACTGAGTGGCTGCATTATATATGTGATGTCTCTTCATTCCAGTCGATGAATCTGTTGAAAGAGGCAATGGGCACTAAATCATAGGGCTGCAAGTAATCAAGTTCAGATCAAAAGTCTTTGTACGGCTTTGTACAATCAAATTATTGTATGATTAAATAAATGACATGTGCCAGAGTTGCTTTGTGCCCTGATTAAAGGCGAGTGGGCTTATCAACAAAAGACCCTCCTAATAAATACAGTAGAGTAACTTAGCAGCAGCATGACCCAGCACCAGTAGCCCAAAGTGATAAAAAGTACAAAAACACATAGCCCAATGTTATCTCTTCCATAGGAGGCTTTTCTTTGTAGTAAATAATATGTTTGCACTATTTACAAGAACAAGTTTTCCATAACACAAATTAAGTTCTTTATACTTCCTTCTTTGCTTCCATGCTGGGCTTCTTCCTCATGCACATAAACGGCTTCACTCTCACAGAGCCTCCTCTCACACGGAACTTACACTGAAGCTTCACACATTAGCTTTTTTCACACAGCAGCCTTTATACTAGAGCTTTTCACACGAGGCCTTAGACATGAGGCCTTCAACCTGGGGCTTCTCTCACAGAAGCTTCTCACACCAGGCCTTCTTATAGACTGAGACCTACCTCACACAGAGGTTTCTCTCACAGACTAATGCCTACCTCATACTGTGAGGCCTTCTCACAGACTGAGACCTTTCTCCCACTGAGGTTTACCTCAGACTGATGGCTACTAAACTACAGGCACACCTGCTTATATAGAACCGCAGCTTTTGCTAAGCTATTGCATCCATTTAAACCTTTCAGTTCTTGACTCACATTTTAGTAATTAAAAATACCTAGCTAACTCTTAATACTTCTGACAAAGAGAGCCAAGTGTCCTACAGTGGGGAGTGGTGAATAGTACCAATCCTGGTGCAATCATGAAGGATACTTGGGCCAGTCAGAAATATCTCCTTAAATTTGCAGTGCTGTTGTAAAGCTATGACGCAGGGATGTGGAAATATACATTAGAGCTTCTTGGATGGAAATCTTGAATAAAAGCTATGCTAAAATGAATTGGAAAACTATTTTAGCTACTAGGAGTTGTTGGATCAGCTATTAGCTTCTAAAATGTGACAACACTCAGATTCCAAGGCCAGCAAACTCCTAGTGGCAGGCATCATGTTACACCTGCTAGTTTAGGACAATAAATGTTTTGCAGGTTCCTAAACATACATATAGTGTTCCCTCACTTATTGCGGGTGTTACGTTCCAGGACCACCCATGATAAATGAAAATCCGTGAAGTAGGGGCACTATATATATATATATATATATATATATATATATATATTCCTACACAGACACACACACATACATATACATACAGTATTTAAAATCAGAAATGCCTTGCCCATCTTACTGGGCAAGGGCCGTTGCGGTGGTGAGCACCCTCCCAACAGCCATGCTGCTTGCAGGGGGCTTCTTCCCAGAAGCCCCCTGCAGGTGGGAAGTTTCCCACCGCTTGGCTAGCTGGCCTACCAGCGGCAGGCCTCACCCCACCCCTGGATCGGCCAGGGCTGGCTTCCTCATCTCGCCCCGGCAGCAACAGAACCCTGCGGAGGCCCAGGGCAGCTTTGCAAAGGCTGTTGGGGTGAGGTGGGGAAGCTGGCCCTGGCCGATCCACAAAACCCTAGCCGTGAAACAGTGAGTCCATGGAAACGAAATAGTGAAACAGCGAGGGAACACTGTATAACCTATACTGGTCTGTGCTAATCATATACTTGGAAGGGTCATCCAATCCAACTTTCTGCCATACAGGAATATATAGTCAAAGCACTCCAGATATATGGCTATCCAGGCTCTATTTGAAAACATTATGTGCAGGAGACTGCCTCACTCCAAAGCAGCATGTTTCACTGTAAACAGCTCTAACCATCACATTTTTCTTAATGTTTAGGTAAAATCTCTTTTCTTTTAGTTTCAGCTTATTTCTGACTTAAATTGAACATTTCACGGAATTTTTGGTCCAGCTTACCTGTCTGAATGTGTCTTCCTCCTATGAACCAGTTCAAGCATTAAGATCTGCTGGGGAGGCCCTGCTCTTGGTCCCGCCTCTTTCTCAGGCATGACTGGTGAGGACGAGGAACAGGGCTTTCTCAGTGGTGACCCCTTGGATATGGAACTCACTACCCAGCGATATTAGATCAGCTTCCTCCATCTTTGTGTTCAGAAAGAAAGTCAAAACCTGGCTGTGGAACCAGGCATTCGGGGAGTAGCACAATCACAGTGAAATACACATCCACAGAGTTAATATAAATGAAGACTATGATTGCGGGATTAGGTGCAATGTTTTCACAGTTTTTAATCGTATCAATATGTTTATTTTGATTTTAAAGTTTAATGCGTTGTGTATTTGTATGCTTTTATTTTTCAATGTGGCATTGAATAATTGCCAAAACTGGAATCCACTCTAAGTCCCTTCTGGGTTGAGATAGAGCAGGGTAGAAATACAGCAAATACATAAATAAATAAATAAATAAATAAATAAATAAATAAATAAATAAATTTCTGGGGCTTAAAGTATGTAGCTCACCCAATATCACCCAATGAATTTCCATAGACAATCTATAGCCCTGGTCTCCAGAGTCGTCCATCAATGCTCAAACTACTACATAACACTGGATTTGTACAACGACATTAAATATTGACCACATCAGGAATCAGGAACAAATGTTCAATAGGCAGCTTCTAAACTCTTATTTGAATCTTCAGTTCGCTATAGACTTCTGTCTGAGTTTGTTGAACAAATATAATATGATTTGTTTAACTTATCCGAAACGGAGACAGCCTGTCAATTTTACATGGACAAGGCTGCCCCCTTTCAGGGTTGGGTGAGAATCTAAATTTTATGTTGAAGAACACAATCTGTCCTTCAATTATCAGTGCCTACTTGTTTACATACAAAACCATATTGCATTGGATTATGGTAAAATATGGCTCAGATAAGCTGAGAACAGCTTTGTACCTATTTTCAATGGTGTAAGTAAAAAAAAGTTTTAATGTAAAATGGGGATGGTGATCATTTCTCAGTTTGGTGTAATCCAATTTTGCAAAATAGAACAATCAGGAAAAGTGAGCACAGTGCCAATGCCACAGCTTCCTGGGATGCAAAAAAACAAAAACAAAACCCAACAACCCCAAAAACGGAGCTTTTGGGGGTATAAAGGATTGCTCAAGTTTGTGGGAAAGCTTCCAGAGTTTTAAGCAGCCTATTGTATCTATTTAACGTGTGGAAATAATAAAATAAGTTGTCAGGTCTGATGGAGAACTGTTACAAATCATGTAGGCTGTAGAAGGTTTCTCCCTGAAATCAAGAAATATTTATAGTTTAAAATTAGGAATTTAGCTGATCTCTCTCTCTCTCTCTCTCTCTCTCTCTCTCTTTCTCCAGCTCACCTACAGTTTAAAGAATATTATTCCGTCAGAAAAATGAACTATGACAAATTATTAATAATAGCAAGGTTGAAAAAAGAGCCAGATAACTTAATGGAGTCATACTATTGTTCCTAACCTATGTAAAGAAGAAGAGGAACAACAACAGCATCATCATCATCATCATCATCATCATCATCAACAACAACAACAACAACAACAGCAGCAGCAGCAGCAGCAGCAACAAACACATCAGGGTAATGTAGTAGTTTGGTGCTGGACCAGGATTCTGGGAGAGCAGGATTTGAAAATTTATCCTGGGGTTTATCAGGACTCTAATTGGAACTAACTATAGGGAGCGTACAATGCCCCTATTAAGACAGCTCCACTGGCTGCCAATAAGTTGCGGGTCCCAATTGAAAGTGCATGTTATGACAAAGCCCTAAACAGATTGGGCCCCACCTATTTCCGTGATCGCATCTCCCCCATGAAATGGCACGGACTCTTAGATCTACCAGGGAGACCCTCCTCTCGCTCCCCCCACTGTCCCAAATGCAGTTGGTGGGGACGAGGGAGGAGGCCTTCTCGGTGGTGGCCCCCCGCCTTTGGAATGCCCTCCCCAGAGAGATAAGACAGGCCCATCATTAACCTCCTTCCGCAGGGACCTGAAGACTTGGTGGTTCCAGCAGATCTTTGAAAACAATTAGCCCCAGGCCCTACCTTGATCATCAGTTAGGACCCTTCTCTCACTTTACCCACTTCCCTGGTCCTTTGCCACCTTGTGGTACTAGCCCTGGCCCAGATCTTTTATAGCTGTCCAGTAGGCCTTGGAAGTGAGTAGCCCCAGACCCCACCCTGACCATCAGTCACGACCCAGCTCTGCACTTTACCCACTCTCTTGGCTCTATGTTAGTTTGTTGCACTAGCCCTGACACAGCCCCTTTATAACTGTCTAGGCCCACTTTGAAATTCTGGCCATTGGTAGTTTAATTTTGCAGGATCAAATAGTTTTGGAACTGGTTTTTAATTCCACAGTGTAGAGAAGTGGTTCTCAGCTTGTGGTTCCCTGGATGTTTTGGCCTTCAATTCCCAGAAATCCTAACAGTTGGTAAACTGGTGTAGAGCCAGCCAAATCAGAGTTGTTTTGAAGATGTACAGCAGCAGCAGCAGCAGCAGCAACAACAACAACAACAACAACAACAACAACAACAACAACAACAACAACAAATGGGAAAGCATGTTGCTTCCAAGATCTAATCAGTTCTGAAGAAATACAACATGGTCCTATGGAAGACCAGTTGGAAATGCTTGTCCTTCTAGAATGTCTTGAACTATTGCTCATGTCAGTAGCCACTTCATGGATGTGAAGTCC